CTCTGGATGATGTCGTTGATTCTGGGTGATGTGATCGACTCTGGGTGATGTGATGGGCTCTACGTGGTGTGATGGGCTCTAGGTGACGTGATCTGCTCTGAGTGGTGTGATCAAGTCTAGATAATCCACTTCTGCTGAGGGGTCGGACCAGATGTTCTTCAGACCCTCGTCAGTCCCTTTCAACCCCTAAAATTCTGTGATTTTGTGTTTCTTTCTCCTCACTTTAAGGCCATGATGCTGCTTGTTTTGATATATTCCGTGGAGACTTGATCGCAGCCTTCCTGTACTTGAAGGAGGGCCTGCAGGAAAGATTGAGAGGGACCCTTTCTCAGAGAGTATAGTGACAGGACAAGAGGTAACAATTTCCAGTGCAAAGAAGGAAGATTTAGATGATTAGAAAGAAGTTATTTTCTATGAGGGCCATGGGCCATTGACACAGGTTGCCCAGAGAAGTTGTGGCAGCTCCCTTCCTGGAATAATTCAAGGCCAGGTTGGATGGGGCTTTGAGAAACTTAGTCTAGAGGGAGGTGCCCTGCTCATAGCACAGCTCATGGGGAAAGGGATGATCTTTAAGGTTCCTTCCAACCCAAAGCATTCTATGATTCTGTGACATTGAGAGTCTTCTCCTATATAGTGGCAGTATATTTTGGCATGTTACAGGATTTTTTTCCACAAAAAACTGCTCCTTATGAGGATATTTTTTACTTTTTGTCTTGGGGTTCATCAAAGTTACGGGAGAGGTTCCAGGCTGGTGTTTGCAGAGGGAAATGTTTTCTATCCTTCACAGGCCTCTCATAGAATCATAAATTCACAGAACGGTTTGAGTTGGAAGGGGCCTTAAGGATCATCTAGTTCCAACCCCCCTGCCATGGGCAGGGACACCTCCCACTAGACCAGGTTGCTCCAAGCTCTGTCCAGCCTGGCCTTCAACACTTCCAGGGATGAGACATCCACAACTTCTTCGGGCAACCCTTTCCAGTGTCTCACCACCCTCACAGTAAAGAACTTGTGGCACTTCTCCCTTGCGCCTCGTCATGTGTGGTAGCCGCGTCCTAAAAGTCAGCCCTAAGTCATTGACGAAACTTTCTGCAGTCTGATCTTTGATCTAAGAAATCAGAAAGGGATAAGAGAGAATCTCTAGTACGAACCTAAACAGAAGCTTAGAAGCTGCTGAGGGAGACTAAAATAGAATGAGAAATAGTTGGGTAAAGGACACCGCTGTCTGCTATTTCAGACTGTGGTTTGGACAGCGCTTGGCAAATTCCTGTTTCAGCTTGTTTAGTGTACACTGTCAAGAGCCTTTCCTCCTCCCCATCAGGAGACTGATCTCTGGACTTGTGTTGAATTTTGTCTGAGGTGTTAAATATCTGTGTGTGGACACTGCCTCAATACTGCAATCTGTGACTAAGTTCAAATAGTCTTTGGCCTTGGCAAGATGCGACAGTTAAAGAATTCAAATGGTAACAAATGTGGTAACAAAGATTATGCTTTCTATTTGCTTCTTGCTGAAGAGGCCATTGCTACTCATCATGTGCTCGAGCAAAGTTTTCGGCTTCCTTTCCTGAGTGGACTGATAATTATTAGGCGCAGGGTGTAGAGTAGGGAGTTTAGTTTAGCATCATGTTGCTGATGGTCAACTCGGCGTTGTCGTATTACTGCTGGTGTGTCTCGCTCAGTTCTGTCAGAAGTGGAACATGTTTCCTGACACCTGTTCATGGCGACACATTTTGGCTGTCGACTAAACACCTCGGAGCCAACTTCAGAAGGCTCGGTTGATTCCTTTTATCAGCTCCTGGGTACACTACTACAGTGATAAGATCCGAGCAAGTAGAGAGGGTCTGGGCTGCAACCTCGTGCTCATCAGAAAGGCAGGAGCTGTTACTTTTAATGTCACAGGCTGCGACTGTGCAGGACTCCAGGCTCTGGCTTCCTGGCAAATGCTTCCACCAGTGGTCCTGACATCTCTTTCTCCTTTACCTCTTTTTTTTATCCATGCTTGGGATGCCCGTTTGTTTTATATGTGCCTCTTTCTACAGAGCTCCATTGATTCCAAGGCAGTGTGGTGAGCAGGGCTGGTACTGCAGCAGGAAGCAACAGCAGTAGCTCAAACAGTAGATATATCGCAAAGAGTGAGTAAGAACTCCTGGTGGCTCTGCTGTCTCCTGCGTGAGGCCCAGCTTATAAGCCTGAAAGAATTTATTAGCGTGATCTGTGCCCTGCTCCCAGCATTGCTGGTTGGGAACTGCTTTTCTAACTGGCAAGCTGTTACAGAAAACCATTTCTGCTCCGTCTGCATCGCTAATTAAGGAGCTGTGTGTTCTGAGAAGCTGGAGGACGATGCCAGCAGATCGTGGTTGTGCATCAGGGCTGGCACGGTAATAGCGAGAGTGGCAACCGTGTGTTGTGGCTGGAGGTGGTGTTTGTCATCCAGATGACAGGTGGGAACCCTGAAGCTGTGGTGCGCGGCATGAAACGCGTGTCATCTCTCACAGCACCTCGTTCTTCAGGGGTGCTGGTAACCGGTGGAAACAACTTGGGGATGAAGTAACTACTCTGCGGCGCTCTTGGCTTATTTGTAAGTTTTTGGGGAGTGGATGTATCGCCCAGCTCATAGCGGGAAGGAGCTTACAAAGACTTTTGGGTGTGCAAGCTTGCTTTTGGTGTGAAGGAACCCCGCCAGAAAGCTGGTTCAGTTTGTTTCCTTGAGATAATATTTGGAGGAACCCTCACCAATCTTGTCTGGCTTCTTAGCACTCCCTTTTGTGTGACTAATTTCTAAGAGGCCAAGTGCAATAGTACGTCCTGCCTCAGGTTTAAATTTGTAGAAGAGTTCGGTAGGAAATAAATAAATAAATAAATAAAGTTTTACATTGAAATAGGGGAAAAAACAACAACCAAGACACAAATTCCAGACTTGCCTGTGTGGGTCATTCTTGGATTTAATTTCTGACGTCACGGACAGTAATGAGGGAAAGATTGGACATTGCTAGGGTTGATGAGGGTATGTCTAATTACTCTTTGTCCTGAAAGTTCTTGAAATTTGCACCCGTAAAAATCGCCTCCTGTCTTCACCTGCCCAGTTACGACATCATTTTGGCAGCTAACCAATCTTGTATGCTTGATGTGCTTAATCAAGATGTCATCTCAAGACAACATGAAAACACTTGTTTCCCGTTCTGCTGGTCTTTAAAATGAAATCTAGCCAAAATTTCACAGGCATTTATGGGATAATAGAAGGACAAACAGTTATGAACACTGCTGGAACTTGTAGACTCAAGGAGTGTTCCAGCATGCTGGGGAAGTGTGTGTCAGATGTCTTCTCATACTACTTCTCTTAACATCATGGTCTTAGACTCTTCTTTATGGCAGAAGGTTGTTAAAACCTTTTTCTACTCTCATTAAATAGGCAGTGAAAATCCACGGAGTTCTGCCTCAGATTGTATCTGCACCTCATCAGAGGTGCCGTGGCAGTTTTCTGGGCTAATGCTAGCTTTGAAATTGTTAACTTGGTTACTGATAGCAGGGTAGCGCTGGCTGTGTCGAACTGCCTTTGAACTTGCAGAGGTCATAACCTGTATTTTGGACAGCTCAAGTCAGGATAAAAGCCCGGGAAGTTGGATTCGCTTAATATGAAGCGCTCCTGAGTTTGGACACAGAAATCTCAGAATACTTATGTTTTAAAGTTCCAGTTGGGTCAGCAAATTGGGTTCTGGTAAGGGACTTTGAAAGCCATGCTGCTTACAGGGAAAATGTAATAAGAAAATGGGCTGTGAAAGATTGCAAATAAAAGACTGTCTCAGAAATTAATCAGAAGCAAGCAAGGATCCATAACTGGCTCTTGCTTTGTAGCTTCTCTTTTCTCTCCTTGTTCCTTGCATGTATAAGAGGGGTTACAGTCTCGTTGCTGTGAGCAGCATGAGAGCATCGTGTTGTGAAGTGGTGGGAGGAGAAGGATTCTAATTGCTGATGAAGACTTGCATTTCTTCTGCAGTTATTTAATGGTAATTGGCAACTGATTCTGCAAACCAAGCCGCAGGAGCCAGTGGGTGCTGTAGGGAGCAGTGCTGTTCCATGGCACGTACCTACGTTGCTTATCATTTCACCGAAGAATAATTTTAGGAGAATGAGTTCGCAAACTCTCCTGCACTAACTGGTGAAATTAGGATGAGTGATGGAGCCAAGTAGCATCCTGGATGCTGTTCAAACCGTGCAGTATTCCAAGTGCTGTGTTGAATCGTGGCCAGGAATATTTCATCTCTCCATCCCAGGGTAGGCTTGCGCAGGTACTTCTAGGAGCACACGTGCACCTTGACACTCGCTATCACCCTTGAGGCTCCAGGGTGGCCTCTGCTGCCTTGTTGCCAGAGGTCAGGACAGCTCCATCCCTCAGGCTTTTATCTCATTCGAAGAGAATCTAAGTGGTTCTTGTGGCCAAGCTCCTGAGATTTTGGTATCCTCAGCGTGCTTGTTGACACAGTAGTTTGATCTGTCGGAGGTGACGGTGGGACAGTTCAGTTGGATTTTGACCAGCAATGCCGTGGTTGACTTCTCTGATTCTTAGCTTCTGTGGGTCAAAATGAGCTTGTGGTGCAGCAAATGAATCTTTCAGACGTTGGGTTTCTGTGCTCTTGTATGCAAAGCAGGTGCTTGGGGTCTTCGTTTTTCTCTAGAGAACGCACAATGCTGAAGATCTGCCTCCCCTGGTTGGGCTGTAATCCCCTCACCTGTGGAATCAGCCTGCACAATTCCCATAGACAAGTCTGAACGGTGTAATAGTGAGTGTGGATTTGACTGGTAAGTCTCTCACAGGGGGATTAGACCTTGGTGATCCCGGCTATAATCTCATAGCCAGTGTAGCATCTCAGGTTTCGGAGCAGCGTGTTAATGGGTTGTGTTCACGCCCCGAGACTGCTCGGTTTCTGTTGCAACAACACAGTAAATCACCAGGATATGCGTTCTCCAGCCTCCTGCCACGTGGATTGAGGAGTGGGCAGCAGGCAAGCTTGTATTCCAGTCTAAAAAGGTGATTACAGAATCTAAAAGGGGATCTGAGATAAGGGGCAAGCTCACAGCCAACAGGTAACCTACTCTTCAAAGTAATTTTGAGCACAGATAAGCTTTTATGCTTAACAGGGGTTTATTTGATCAAAATACCTAAAAGCTGCTTCTTTTTCCTTTGGCCTGGATATGGGTTTTTTTCATCCAAAGCAATGGAGGCACATGCTTAGGAAGCTTGTAGTGTTAGTCAGCATTTTATAAAACAAAGGTATCAAAAGTATGACTTGAAGGCATAGTTATTTAAAAGCCTTCTGAAATAAGTAAATGATGGTAATGCAGGGCAGCTTACTTACATCAGAGGGTTTTCCCCTTTTTTTTTAATGGTGCTTTTGTTATTTTAAGGCTTTTAACTCTTAGGGTTACGCAGCGAAATACACAAGCAGAATGCCCTGGTTAGTTCCTGGTTTTTGGGGCATTTTTTAATGATACTGACCATTCTCAAGGTTTTGCTGTGCATTAGAAAGTCACGTGAGGTCAAACTTCTGTGGCCAGTCGAGCTTGGCTCCCAAGCCTGGTTTGAACCAGCTCTGCAGTGTAACAGCTGGTAGGCACCTTAAGAAGCTGCTGCTCTTCAGCTCCAAACTCCTCCTTTCTCCTGAGGGGAAGCTTCTAGATTCTCCTCATACCAACGTTTCAGGATTCAGGCTGGCCCACCTTGCTATGATATGTTCAACATATGTTTGCCCCATTGCTGCACAAAAGGAGCTCTTCTTTGTTGCCTGTGCTGCTTTACCTGTACACGTTTTCAGGATGGGTGCACGTGTTTTTTGGGCAGATTGGAGAGGTGGAGGAGAGTGATGATGTAGCTGAGACACGGGTAAGTGTGTGTGATACATGTGCAGTGCACTGTGTCTTTTCCCCAGAGGCCTGAAGTAAGCGTATTTCTTTTTACACATCTAGGAGATGAGTGATCTGAAAAGACAGAAAATACCTCACACCTTCGGTTGTTACGTTAGCTCTGGCTTACAGCGAAACCCCATCCATTGCTTCCTGCGAGTCAGAACACACTGAACAGCTGTTCTGTGACTGAGTTTTATATTTGTCTCTCCCAGAGGGCAGAAGCTCCTCAAAGGTGCTGTAGGTGCTTTTAAAGATACTTGAGCAGAATTTAAGTACTGCTGTTGCACTTAAAGTTGCAACATGTTCAGCAATTTCCAGGCAATTTAGAGCTGCAGGGTAGACCCCACGTCACTGAATCTTTGAGGATCGGAGTCACATCCTTTGGGTTACGTATTGTGCAACGGGCATGCTAGGTGCTGTCCAGGCCCTCGACTGCTTGGCTTCTAGTTATTTTTCAACGTGCACTTTCCCTAAAAGGTGCAAGGCAATTCTCAGCCCACTGAGAGTGGCCTCAGTAAGTAGCTTCTTTCTGGTAGCAGCAGGTGGGAGCTACATCATCCTGAGCTGAGGCAATCGGCGAGGAATAGCCAGATCGTCGCCTGACGGTGACTGTTCAGCACTGGTGATCTTTCATCCCTTTTGTTCCGAACGGACTGAGCCTATCTATGGGTGTTTTCTGTGCCACAGGTGAGCCTGGAGCGCTGATCTGCATCACGTGATGAGCTGGAGGCAGCAAAATAAACATGGTGTTTGAGAATGGTAATAAGGCGATGCAGATAGGCTACATTACGTGGCTGTAATTAGCAGAAGAACTGCTGGGTGTAGAGGAAGAGATGACTAAATCCAGGGATTCCATCCCTCCATCTGTGGTCATTTTGTTGCCAGCTGGATACGGCCGGGGAAGCTGGTTGTGGTTCTATATGTTTAAATCACCTCCGAGGTGGCTTTTCTAGTTTTATGTGGCCTGCCTTTAGAAGTTGTTAAACTGTTATGCTTGGAAGAGGACTGGAAATCTGACAGGCAAAAAGTGCCCTGGGCGAGAGAAATGCCTCCTGCACGCTCAGTCACGTTCTTTGCCAGGTTAGTAAAGCGAAGTTTAGGAACAGTTTGTTTTCCTTGGTGGCTTAAGCAAGCAGAAGAAACCTGCCCCTCTGCAAGGGAAACAGATTTGTTAGTTCTCACGTTTTCTTGGAATGTGCAGAGAAGGTTCCCCTTCTACTCACCGCTGTGCGATCGGGAAACCTGGGCCAGCCCCATCCATCCCTGGCACCGGCGCTCACGTTGGTTATTTTTTGGCAGAGGAACGCAGCGCAGCTCATCTGGTGCCATAGCCCTTGCCCGGTGTTTCTGCCAGACGAGCTGCTTTGTCACCTGCAGCCTTTCTTAACATCGTCTCCGCTCCGCGATCACACGGTTGAGCTGGCTTTGCCCATGCGGGATGAACACGCTGTTCGTGGTGCTCTTCCCACCGCACGGACCCGCTGCAGCGAAATCCCAGTTCTTGGGAGAGCACTTGGGGTTTATGGGCGTGCAGTGAAGAAGGGGGAAGCCTGAGGGATCCCAGAGGAGGAAGGCGGTGAGGAGTAGCTGTCGCTACTGGCAGAAGAGTTGTTCCAGCCTGCTGCTGTGTTGCCGGCGAAGGTGGCAACACGGAGGGTTCCGCACGGCTGCGTGGGATTGAGAGCAAGCTGTTGAGGAACCAAGTTGGTAGTCAGACTGAAATGTGGGGCTGTGTGTAAGGTGACTTCTGTCAGAAGGCCGTAGTTACCCTACTAGTGTGAGTATTGGATAATACCTGGCTTGATGTGTACTTCTGCAAAGGAAGTTGCTACAAAAACTGAGATAGTTGCCTCATTGTTTTGTGCAATCTGCTTCTGGTAGATGGAGGAATCTTGTCAAATTCTGTGTGTTTAAAAAAAAAGTCATTTGCGCTGAAGAAGATGCCATCTGCCTGTGATGCTCTGATGAAGCTTTGTCTTGTCTGCACTGAGGAAAGGTTTAGTAGAAGCACAGGATCCATGGGTGAACGCCAGAGGTGATCGAAGTCGTGTATCCAGTGCAAATTGTGAAGTTCACGCTCCATCATTTCTGGGGAGGATGGGAATTAACTTTAGTTACTGCTTTTAATTTGTCTGTGGGACAGTAAGGTCTTAATGACCCGGCCTCACAATAGCAAACCTGCTTGTCTTTGCGCAGGAGGAGCCGTAGAACGCACTTCGTCTTTGCTTACCCCACAAATTGTTTTCCAGTGGTCGACTGCTGGAGTGAAACGGGCTTTCTGGTGCCAATGCAGTGGAATAACACCTGCACCTGCTGGTGGAGGAGCTTCCTGCCTTTTTGTTCTAAATGTGTTGGGTTTTTTTCTTGCTAGGCTAAAGAAATTCTTACGAAAGAATCGAATGTTCAAGAGGTACGTTGCCCCGTCACTGTCTGTGGAGATGTCCACGGTCAATTCCACGACCTTATGGAACTCTTTAGAATTGGTGGGAAATCACCAGACACAAATTACCTGTTCATGGGAGACTACGTAGACAGAGGCTATTATTCGGTGGAAACGGTGACTCTTCTAGTAGCATTGAAGGTATGGTTTGACATTTTTTTCGGAAGCAGCCTTGGGCAAAACAGTGGTTTTGGGGAGTTTGGCAAGAATGGCTCCTCCCATTGATGCTGCCATTGGCCTGAGCTAAACGGATGTAAATCGAAACGCGCTGATGGACACGTGCTGTTCTGCAGGAGAGCCAAACGCGTGACTGCTGTTGGAAATATTCTGGTAGTGTTTCCTTCCGTAGCAACGGTACAATTCTTTTGTTAAAGAAGCGTTTTCTTTGTCAATAGGTGCGTTACCCGGAACGCATTACAATACTGAGGGGCAATCACGAAAGCAGGCAAATTACACAAGTGTATGGCTTTTATGATGAGTGTCTGCGCAAGTACGGCAACGCCAACGTCTGGAAGTATTTCACAGATCTGTTCGATTATCTTCCGCTTACAGCTCTAGTAGATGGCCAGGTAAGCCTTGAGGAAGGAAAACACTCCATGTCATACAGGTACACTGACTGTATCGTCTGACCTCGGCATGAACACTCTCCAACAAGCTCACTGACCTTGTGATCTGAATTTTTTTAATTTTTTGAAAGAAGAATTTAGTGAAGTGTTAATACAAGTTGATGGTGTGGGAAGGAGCGGCAGGATATCGTGTGTATGGTTCATTCTAAATGACTGCTCGACAAGTGGGAAACCCCTCGTGATACATTAGATGTGAGCTAAGTTGTGGCTCTAAGGCAAGATATTCTTAAAATAGAAGGCATGGCTATTCGTGCTGTTGCCTTCATCTCTGTATGCAAAGCGTAGTCTTGTAGTTTTGTTTCCTTCTGCGGGAGTTAAATTTGGTTTCTCTGCTGTGAGGGTGAGACGGCTGTAATGGTAAAAGTATAATAACAATTAAAACCAGCTGTTTCAGAGATCAGTCTTCTCCTAATGATATGCACTGAAAGGATTGCTTTTTGTTCTTTTTCCCGGAACAGATATTCTGTCTCCACGGTGGCCTCTCTCCATCCATAGATACACTGGATCATATCAGAGCTCTCGACCGCCTGCAGGAGGTTCCACACGAGGTAACAGGAAAGGAAATACATCCCGAACTTACATGTCTGTTGGTGGAAAATGCAAACTTAGCCTCACGCTGAAATCTGCTTAGAACAGTGAGACACACGGTTACACTGCAGATTATTGCCTTCCTACGAGCCTGTGCAGATGAGCGTAGGTTTGGGCAAAACATACAAGTCAGTATACTCTGATTACAGCAATCTCCAAAAGAAGAGCTGTGGGGTTTTTACAGCTGTTGCACACAGAATCGTGCAATTTTTTGACTGTCACGCTGACTCAAAGAATAGCATTAGGCAGCAGAAGGTGTTATTACCTTCAGCCTCATCACAGACTTGCTTGTGAACAGTTAGTTCATATCCTCCTTGTGGGTCATTTCCCTGTCTTTAATTTTTCACAATTTGGCCGGCATGGATGAACCCATCATGGGACACACACACCTTCTCACGTGGCCTTATTTTTACTGTACAGTGAGAGTCGGGAGTAAGAGTGTGGCTCCACTCTCCACATCTTTCTGTCTGGTCGAAGTGGAGTGATCAAACGGTGTGAGTAGGAGAGGAAGGTGGAAATGGTTTTCTGGTTATGTGGATCGTTTCTCAGTCAGCCGCACACATACTAATTTCTCTGGGAAGCTGGCTGACTGATAGAGTGAGTAACTAACTGATAGTGTGTGTTCAATAAACTCACGTGCAGAGGACACACTGGCAGTCTTTCTACTGTAAATGCATTTTAAAAGTAGCTTTTTAGAACCATCTTACTGGTGATCTAACTTCACCTTTTTTTAAGGGTCCTATGTGTGATCTGTTATGGTCGGATCCGGATGATCGCGGCGGCTGGGGTATATCTCCGCGTGGTGCTGGCTACACGTTCGGGCAGGATATTTCCGAAACATTTAACCACGCCAATGGTCTCACACTGGTCTCCCGTGCTCACCAACTCGTCATGGAGGTAGGGCAAGCGCTCTGCTCGATGGGGCTGACGAAATAAGAGGTGCCAATTCTTGTCTCCTCTGCGAGACCTTCCACTGATGGGTTCACATAAGCTGACACTTGGATGTTATGCGGATAAATACCAAAGCGGGACTTGAATCAGGTGAAAGCAACACGTGAATAAGGGGATGTTCTGCCCTTCATTCCCCGCTCCTTTCCAAGTAAATTGCCAAAGGGATCCCATCACACTCCATTTGTGGAAGGAATAATCTCCTTGTGCGCTGACCGCTGTGCTTACACTGCTGCGGCATTAGGCAAGCTGTCCTCTAATACCCAGAGTCAGATGTGACGGGGATTAAGCCGTAATTTTGGCTTTTCATAGGCTATTCCTGTATGTCTTGCTGGAAAAATGCCAGGTGGGTCAATGGGGCAGATGTATTTTTAAAATCTAGTTCAAGTAGATCCCTTAAGTACTGCCATGTGTCAGAAGTCACTCGCGTCCAACCAGACGAATTCTCATTTGTGGCAGGTGGAAGCCGTAGGCGTACCTAAAAATCTCCGAGTTTCTTTGTGGTACAGTCCACAGTTTGTGTACGAAATGGATACATGAGCGATGAACGGCCCATCTCTCTGTAGAGTTGTTGAAGCTGGTTTTGCTCGGTGCCTAATTCAGCTGGAAATACGAGAAATCTGCAGTTTCCCAAATGCCTTGGATCGTTTAAGAGGAGCTCTGCAGAGAGGCTCACGTTTGTGGATTAACAGAGGCCTTTTTTTCTCTTTTTTTTAAATTTTTGACAGGGTTACAATTGGTGCCACGACCGAAATGTGGTTACCATTTTCAGCGCGCCCAATTACTGTTACCGTTGTGGGAACCAGGCTGCTATCATGGAACTAGACGACACTTTAAAATATTCCTTGTGAGTAACCTGACTCGGGCTGTTCTCCCTTCCCAACCTGTCTGTATTGTGAGGAGCCTCTGATCCTTTCCAAAGGGGTTATTTCACAAAAAGCTGGCTCAAACTGTTGTTGTGCTCTACCTGCAAGAATGTCTAAAAATAATTAGTGAGTTAAGCTCTTAAAATCTTCTCTTGGGGTACTGCATTATCTCTTCATCTTGGCTCTCTGGAGAGTTGGAGCTTCTGCATTTTCATAATCCTTCTGTCGCCCAAGATTGATGGAGAGAGTAAAGACCGATTGATTTACGTATTTATGTTTATTTTTGGTAGCATTAGGCTTTGTAGAGGTGGGTAAGAGAGCCTGAACTTTGCTTTCAGAAGCGGTGGGGGGCTGCTGAAGTGCTGACTGCTGGGTGCTGTTTGCTCTGTGAGCAGCATTTCAGCCAGCCAAAGAGTTTTAACTCCCTCAGTTGCTTCTTTTGGGACCTGGGTAAAGCGACAGCAGCAGGAGACTAAGCCTGGTATTTATTGCAGTGTTGGGAAATACCTTGGGGAGGAGGTAAAATGATGCCTTTTTCTTTCCCGCAGCCTCCAGTTTGACCCAGCACCTCGTCGTGGAGAGCCTCATGTTACCCGTCGTACCCCAGACTACTTCCTATAAACCTCTCCTAACCTTTGTAGAAGGAAGTACACCTGGCATTTTAAAAAAAAGAGCAACAATATTTACACGTTTCTGTAAGAAATCAGGGTTCGTCTCAACTTCAAATCCCCATCATGGACCAAAATGTGCCATACAGAGGACGAAGAGCGTTTAGCACAACTTGAGACTGAATTCCTTAAAACACTATGTATATCCTAGACCCATCAGTCCAACAGTCAGTTTGCCTGCTGTATTTGTAGTCATTGGGTTTGCGTTTTGGTTTTGTTTTTTTTTCCTCCTTCTGGACTGTTCAGAGAAGTAACTCTAATAATACCACCTCCATCTCGCTTCTTTGTAAATTTTTTAGTTCTAGTGTTTAACTGGCGTGAATTAGAGTTTATTTGCGAGGGAGATGCACACTAACTTCTTCCCCCTCCACACACACTTTATTTTACTGAAACATCGATTGACTTAACTGGAGAAAGGAAGCGATTCCTGCTTGGGAGTGCGTTGTCATAACACGGATAAAAAGCGTTCCCGTTTTAGCTCGATTCCCATTCTGTGTTGATCCTGTCCGCCCCCCTTTTTTTTTTCCCCTTTTTTTTTTTTTTTTCTGGTTGCCGTTTTGTTTCCTTTTTGTTATTTCCCCTCTCCCCTCTGTATATTTGTCCTTGGAAGTGCTTGCAGTCCTCCTCGCTGTATCACACCCCCTCTACCCCCCAAAAAAACCCCAATAAACTTACTGTTGTCAGCCCCCCCCAACCCGTGGTTCTGTGCTGCATCGGGGGCGGGACACCCGGGGTGGCACCGGGGCGGGGCGGAACGGCGGGGCC